GTAAAACTTATTGGCAGAAAGCCTCAATTCATTGAAAGTGTTGAGGCAAATCAGCTTTAGACCTCCATTTGCTTATCAGCACTGCCCATGAGAGGCAGAGCCCATGGAACGAGCCCTTGCAGTTATTCTAGTGGTATAGAGATTCCAGGTATAATTGGAAATGTTCCATATTCAAGTTATTTCAAAATAGCAGGTGGGTAGAACGCTTGACTAGCATGCAAAGTGCAATTTTCCAGCACTGAAAGAAAAAAACAGATAAAACAGTAGGAGGTGTGGGACAAGGAATGGGGAGAGGAACAAGTAACCCAAAACATCTCTCTAAAGGAACACATGAACCCTCTGCAATTAGAAGCCACTAGGTGGCAGCTTTGCTGTGGAGGTTACCTTACTGAAAATGAGAAAGGCTGGGAAGATTGACCAATAATACCCTGCCATATGTATAATGTCTTATGGTTGACAGAGTGCCTTCAAAAGATGTGGTATTGTGGACAAGCGCTGGTAGTTCACACCTGTAATCCTAGCTACTCAGGAGGCTGAGATCTGAGGATCATAGTTTGCAGCCATTCTAGGTAAAAAAGTCCCTGAGGTTCTTTAATTAAACACACACACACACACCACACACCACACCACACCACACACACACACACACACACACACACACACACACACACACACACACACACACACACACAGTGGAGCTGTGGCTCAAGCAGTAGAGTGCTAGTCTTGAACAAACAAAGCTCAGCAATAGCAGCCAGGCTCTGAGTTCAAGCCCCAGGACAAGCACAAAAAATAAAATAGAAATAAAAATACAGAACATGTGGTACTGAATTTTCACCATCCTCCTGTAGGGTTATCATGGGGAGGGCTACTCCCATGTGTGAGAGAATCTGAGTATGGAAGTCTTGGTTATTTGGTTAGAAGTAAGATTGCTTGCATATTTTGTTTGACTGTTTATTTGTTTTTAGCAAAACAAAAATTGTCAAGACTTGCCAGCCAGTTTAAATATAGAACCTTGGTAATTAAAAGTGATATAGCATTACTTTGATCTTAAAGATTAGAAACCTAGCATGGAACACTGAGTAGCATTTATCCAGCCTTATTCTGGTAGTTGACTTGAACAGGAACAAAAAATTTGAAAAGGGCCAGCTCATTTGCTCACAATGATAGGTGCTCTAAGCGTGATCTGGGTCATGTCTTAGAGTTCCAGCTTTGAGACTCAGAGCAAAGACTTACTAAAAGTGGTGGGTTTTTTAATTTTTTTTTAAAAAAAAAGCCTTACTCTCAGGGAGCCTCACAGTCTCTTCTTGGAGAGACTGGAACTCTAGGCTGTCTTCTTCAAGTTCTTTATTGGTATGGGGTGCTGACTATCCTGAACACTGATGACATACCTATATATATTATATGAGACCAGATGAGGAGGATTTAAAATTAAATTCCGGGGTGATTATGTGTCATTTTAACTCAGGGTGGAGATTAGATTTCAAATAGCTAACAGTTTTATTTTCCCAGTCTTCACCAAAGAGTTCTCACTTCAGTCCATGAAAAAGTTAGTTCTGGTACCTGATGCACTCAGCGCCCTCATAGAATGCATGGGGGTGAAGTTCTTTGATGTCACCCCCTAGAAGAGCAAGGTGAAGTGCAGTTCTTCAATCACACATACACTAATCCTCCCTTGATCCAGGAAACTGTATACTGGGTATCTTCCTTTAACTGGTTCATCTTAATTCCTGTACCTAAATGAAACTTAAGAGAGGGTTCCTGAAGATCTTAATAATAGATTGCCTTCAGTGAAAAAACTTATCTTCACTAGAATATGTTAAATCAAAACATGGTACCCTTTGATCTAACATGCTTTTTAAACACTTTTCTGGTGGCACTGAGCTGTGAACTCAGGACCTCGTACTGGTTAAGAAAAACACGGTAAAGAAATGATCTCAAACTCTCTACTCTTGAAAAGGAAACAGTATCTATGAGGATTAAGCTAACTCTAAAAGTAACTATAAGAAATAAAATAAGGTTATTATCTGTAGGTCTCGTGACAATCAATGTTTGAGTTTTGGGGGTTGTTTTTTTTTTTATGATTGTGTAATGAGATTTTTATGTTGTGTAACTAGGTACTAAGTTTAGACAGTAGGTTGGGTCACTGGGAAAAGCATTGTGTACATGATTTATTATTATTTACAAACTCAGCTTTACTAACACAGAATTGCAGGCCAGGATTTGTTGAAGGACTCAGTGTCACCTCTGACCTTCCTGGCTTTGCTCTCAGAGACATAAAATGGCCAGTGGCATTCTAACATTGATGTCTTTCCCCACTAATCACTGAAGCAGGCTGAAACTTCTCAACTCTCTTTCATGCATACACACATATTTATCCTTGGCTTATTTAAGACATTTGGGCGATGGAAGTTCAAGTACTGCTGGAAGAAGCAGGACAGGTAGATCAAGGAAAGGAAATACCTGTTTCCCTCAGCACAGAGCATGAATAGTAGTGATTATAAACCATGTTTCTGATTGTACATGACCATATTTTCATGACTTTGTTCATATCTGAATACATCTATTTCCACTCAGTGTTTTCTGTTGGGGGGGGGGTATGTATGTAAGAGAGTCTTTTTTATATTCTCACTTGGCTTTCTTGCTCACAGTTGAGGTGCTGTAACACTAGAGCCACATCTCCAGATCAGCATTTTGCTGGTTAGTTTGAGATGGTGTCTTGCAGACTTTTATGCTGAGCTGACTTTAAACTTCAATCTTCCTAGTGCCTGCCTTTCTAGTTCTAGGATTAGAAGCATGAACCACTGGCACCTGCCTACTTAGTGTTTTCTTTAAGATTTTTTTTTTTTTGGTCAGTCCTGGGTCCTGAACTCTGGGTCTGGGCGCTGTCCTTCAGCTGACTCAAGGCTAGCACTCTTACCACTTGAGCCACAGCACTACTTAATGTGGTGCTGAGGAATCAAACCCAGGGCCTCATGCATGCAAGGCAAGCAATGAGCCACCTTCCCAGCCTCAAGATTTTTAAAATAGATTTCTATTAATTTATTTTTAGTTGGGCATATAACAGTTTATTGGCACAAATACTGTGTGCATGTCCTTTTTTTATTGTAAACATGATGTACAGATGGGTTACAGTTATCTAAGTCAGGTATTGAGTACTTTTCTTTTGCCCAAGTAAACATGGACTATGCTACTCCTGTTCATCTCATCTCGCTGAGAAGACAGGAGGCATATACACTTACTGATTGAGATGGAGTCTTGCTAATCTTTTGTCATCAGCCATGATCTCTGCTTTCTGAATAGATAGGAGCCAGGCTTGAATCACTGTACCGGACCACTTTTTTTTTTTTTTTTTGTCGGTTGCGGAGCTTGAACTCTGGGTCTGGGTGCTATCTCTCAGCTCTTCAATTCAAGGCTAGCACTCTACCACTTGAGCCACAGCGCCACTTCTGGTTTTCTGAGTAGTTTAGTGGAGTTAAGAGTCTCACGGACTTTTCCTGCCAGGGCTTTGAACCGTGATCCTTAGATCTCAGCCTCCTGAGTAGCTAGGATTACAGGCATGAGCCACTAGCCCTCAGCTTTACTTAAAAAACAAAAACAAAAACAAAGACATAAACCTCTTGTTTCCATTTCTTGGAGTTCATTTCAATAATCATCATTTTATATGATCCTATGCACATAGCTATTGAGCCCTTGTGATCCTCTCCTACGAATATCCTCCTTTGGTCTCACTGTGTGACTATTTATAGAGTCCTGTCTAATTTATTATGTCCAAGTGTAATTTTTTGTCATTTATTGCCCATTGGGTTTACTTGTAGATTTATAGGCACATTCTAATTATTACAAATGAGGGAAATTATGCAATCTGTGTTTCTTTGGGTCTGGCTTATTTTTCTTAATATAATTTTTTCCAATGTCATTCTTTCTGGTGGAAGTATACAAACCCATTGTGTACATATACCACATTTTCTTGATCCATTTGTCCATCTGGGTTGATTCCATATTTTACTTAAGTTAAATAATGCTGCAATGAACACAGCTGTGTTGGTGACTTCAGTGTGGCCTGGTGTACTTTTAAATGTAAACTTTCAGAAGGAAAATCTTTTTACTATCACCTCTATTATTTATTCCATTGATTCACTTCTTATTATATAAAGCCATTTTTTTACACTCCTAGTTAAAAAGAAGTGAGCTTTTTTAAACCATGGCTTTTTTCTTTTCATTGTAAAGGCTGATAGAACTTACCCAATAGCTTTGACTCCACAATTTAAAATAAAAAAAGAATGCAAAAATCTATTTACTGTAACCAATCAGAATCCCACAGCGCATTGGAAGTGAAGACAAACCATGACTAGAAGATATGGTCCTAAACAGAGCCCGCAACCACGACAACACAGAGTTCTCTGTTAAAACTTGGCAAGAGTTTGTTCCCTCCCTGCCCGACCCTGAGAGTCAAGCCTGCCATTTAGTTGAAGAGGTGCCACGTGGTATTCCCTGCCCTCCTTTTAAAATATTGCCCTGGTCCCCTGTAGAAGAGAGAAGGTGACCTCAACTTCTGAGGCCTGCAAAGCCGCTGACAGTAATGAGTTTTTATTTTCTGTTGGAGGGACTCCCTCTGAATGGGATTCAGCATTGTGCTGGTGCCTATATATGAATAGATGACCGATTGAAATTCAAATGTAATGAGGATGCAGGTTTGCTCTTCAGTACAGCTGCCTTTGGTTTTTTTATTTGTTTTTTTCTTTTGTTTTTTGGCCCTAGTGGGTTCTTTGCATCAAAACAGTTGAGCTTTTCTCTTCCTTAGTGCCATCACCCTAAAGTTAACTGGGCAGGAAAGACATCTTTGCCAACCCATTCCAGAAAAGAAATCCAGTGTGCTCTAGTTTTCCAGTTTGCTTTTCTTTTATAACATAAGTGTGAGATTTGGATGTTAAATCTTGGTGGGGGGAACAACAGAGTATTCTTTTTGAAACATGCAAATGTGTCTCTTCATCACCTAGGAAACTATTATGGGACACCCAAACCTCCTAGCCAGCCAGTCAGTGGGAAAGTGATCACGACGGATGCCTTGCAAAATCTTCAGTCTGGCTCCAAGCAGTCGACTCCGAAGCGAACCAAGTCCTACAATGATATGCAAAATGCTGGCATAGTCCATGCGGAGAACGAGGAGGAGGAGGATGTTCCTGAAATGAACAGTAGCTTTACAGGTAAAGGCCACACTGTGTCCCAGATGTATGGATGGATGGATGCGTGCATTCATGTTGGGTAAGAGGGTGGTATAGACAGGTTTGAGTCTTAGGAACATTGCTAACATTCATGCTCTGTGCTGTGGAAACAGATAGGTCCTTTCCTTGATCTACCTGTCCTGATTCTTCCAGAAGTACTTGAACTTCCATCCCCCAAATGTCTTAAATAAGACAAGGGTAAATAGGTGTGTATGTATGAAAGGGAGTTGAGAAGTTTCAGCCTACTCAATCTTTTTTTTATTCCAGAATGATCAATGTCTTAAGTTTTTTTCTTTGTTCATTGATTTTTTGGGGGAGCAGGAGTGCTTGGAACTTCTCTAGAATTGCAGTTAGTAAAGATCCACTGAAATATAAGAATTTGTTTTGTCAGTTTAATGTCAGTTGATGCTGCATGGAGGTCCAGCAACATATCCTCCCACACACTGGTAAGTGCAAGTATTAAGAAAGTATATCCTGGGTTGAATTAACCTATGAAAATCTTTTATACCCTTAAAGAGACAGAGGTGGAAAAATTTAAGAAGATGATGACATTGGTATCATAACAGTAAACATAACCCAAACCTTTTGCCAGAAGTATTGAGTGAAGCAGATGGAGCTGTTTGCCATGAGGCTTGGTTCTTGGTAGTTATCTTTTTATGAATAATATACTTGATTTCATTCAGCTGGGAAAGGACTGGCTAGTATTTCTAAGTAGTTTGAAGATTTGAGTCATGAAAATTTCTGTTCTTGGACTGGGAAGGTGGTTCAGTGGTAGAGTGCTTGCCTCGCATGCATGAGGCCCTGGGTTCAATTCCTTAGCACCACATAAATAGAAACAGCTGGAAGTGGCACTGGCTCAAGTGGTAGAATACCCAGGTCCAGAGTTCAAGCCCCACAACCAAAAGAAAGAAAAAGAAAAAAAAAGAAATTTCTCATTTTTATGTATGCTTTTTATTAAAAATCAACTGATTCATCCCTCGGGATGAATAAACATTCCTTTGGGAATATTTTATGTATTTATAGTAAAAGCAAAAACATTATAGAAAAGAAGTGTTAACTTTTCAATTTGTTCTTTTCTTTTCCCTTTTCTTCTCTTTCTTTTGTTCAAGTAATGTGTCTTGAAATCGTGGTATCTTCCTAACATTTCATTTTAAAAACATCTTATGCCTTAACATGTATCTCCATGGTTCAATAAATAAAACTAGCAAGTTTTATCATAAAACCCAAAATGTAGATATGGTCATAGCAACCAATGACATTGCAGGTCAGGTGCTGAGAAGCGGCTCTTCAGGAAGACTCTGTCCATGGTCTCCAGGAAGATTTCTCAATAGAAGACAAGAAGAAAGTAGAAGTAGCTGGCTCTAGGACTATTTGCATTTCTTCTTTTTTTTTTTTTTTGTCTTTTTTTTTGTTGGTCACAGGGCTTGAACTCTGGACCTGAGTGCTGTCCCTCAGCTCTTCAGCTCAAGACTAGTGTTCTACCACTTGAGCTACAGAGCCATTTCCGGTTTTCTAGTGGTTTATTGGAGATAAGAATCTCATGGCCTTTCCTGCCCTGGCTGGCTTTGAACCACAATCCGCAGATCTCTGCCTCCTGAGTAGCTAGGATTACAAGAGTGAGCCACCAGTGCCCAGATGTTTGCATTTCTTAAACCCAACTGCCATAAATTTCTGTCAATAGAAAGCATGACTTAGAAAATCTGACCTCATTATAATTACCACTTGAAATTTAGCCTGATAGGTAACATTGCTGAAATAAGTGTGATCCTTAGTTTTCTGCACAAAACAGAAAGTGAAGTCATGTGGCACGTGATCATGCCCTTCAAGTTCCTACATCCATACCAGGAAGGGCAATAGGTATGCTGAGAAGCGGTGGTAGAGCCAAGAGAGGGAAGGGGGAAGGCAGATAGACCAAAGGATAGAGGTAGCTATGAGATACACATGTATGTGATGAGACACCCTCAATCTGTAGGACTGCGTTGAATGAATGAAATACCTTCTTGCCTACAAAGCTGATCATCTGTCCTACACTAACTCATATGAAGTCTCTCATGTAATTAACTCTACCCAGTTTATGCTCTGGGGGTGAAGGTAGCTGTGTCTCAAAGAGTTTAGCACTCTGGTGTGCTTTAAGTAGCAATCCAGCATGGCTTTGACCATAAGAGTAACAGCTACTGACTTGACTCTGGTCAGGCCAACTGTGATAAAGGCATGGGAATATTATCCAAGTGTAGAAATGCAGTGTATCCACTAAAAACAATCTTTACCAGGAATATTTTATATAACCCCTTCCTATCTTTTGCTCCTATCTTGGCAATTTTGAAAGAGTCATGTGCTAAATAATATGGCTAAATGATATGCAGAGTATCTGCAGACAGAAGCCAGGGATCCTAGTGGCATCACGGTCCTAGGAACGCAGCCTCCCCTTCTGTTCTGCAGGTGATGATCCAGGCAGATTCTGAGCAACGAACAGAAACTCACTGGAAGGTTGACTGTTGAACACTGACCATGGAACAGGCATCTACAGATTGCACTAAAGATACAGAGTTAGAAGGGCCCCCCTGAGGGAGAACACTCTTTATGTGTGCTGAGTCAGAGTAGAGTTGGCCAGAGTACACAATTATTTACACAAACAAAATCTTTTGTGTAAAGATTTTGTTTATTATGGATAGTTTGGTCAGTATATAATAAACCACCATAGCCAGAAAAGCCTGATTTTCCCACTAACTGCATCCAAGAGACATCAAAAGGTTATTGAATTGTAATTTTAGGCTTTTCCGCCTTTCAGTCTATCCTGTTGCTGGTCATTAGCTTACTGACTCTTGTCATTTGTAGGCAATACTCCTTTGGCTAATGTTTCTCTAGTACTGGGTGGAAGGCCCTTTTCTGAGCTCTTTTCCTTCTCCTTAAACTCTTTATGCATATGTCGGGAGGTCACGTCATGTCTCCACTATCACAAAGACCCAGTGTGTTGTCAGAGCTGCCATGCCAACCCAAAAATGTGTTTTAAATCAGCTTTATCAGCTCTAAGAGGCCCCAGCGATTTTGACTGATTTGTGCACAGCAAGAGATGCACGTAAATCTGAGAGCATAGACAATTTAAGATAAGCCTCAAGGTTTTTTTTTCCCCAACATAAGCTTATGTTCTTAAAGTCACTTCCAAAAGTCTCCAAGTGCATTGGGGAGGGAGTGGGGAAGGAGGTTCAATGCTTGAAAGATTCTGATTTACGTGTCATTCAGAGATGAGCAACTTGCATATTCCATTCCTGGTCCACAGTTGAGAATGCTAAAGGCCAGCACACGTTTCACCACTAAAGGATGGATAGACTGGGCATTCCATCTCCTTATCTGGACTCACTCCAGCATCCCCTTCTACCTGTCCTCTGTGATTTATAGGAATCCTTTAGTAAGAAAGTGATAGCAAATGATTCATAAATTAAATGAAAGAATTTTTCCCCTTTAATACAAGCATGTATCATAGTCAGTATCATGACTGGGGCTGTGAATTCTTCAGTCTGTCCTGTGTCTACTTCAACTTCTTAGTGTTGGACTTTGTGTGTTTCCTTTCAGAGAATGAGGTTGTTGGGTTAGGGTGTGAATCCATTGGTAGAGCATTTGTCCAGCATGTATGTTTGATACCCAGCACTAGGGGGAAAAAAAGAAAAATGAGAAAATGAGATTGTTTGTAAGGTTTGTTTGATCTTAAAGAAAACCTATAGAGGGCATATGCAGTTAAATAAAAAACAAAACAATTAGCCAAGCACCAGGTAGCTCATGCTTATAGCTACCAACGTCCTAGCTACCCAGGAGGTTGAAATCTGAGGATCATAGCTGCCAGCCCAGGCAGAAAAGTGCATGTGATTCTATCTCTAATAAAACCAGCAAAAAGCCAGAAATGGAATTGTGGCTCAAATGGTAGAGTGCCAGCCTTGAGTGAAAAAAGCCAAGCAAGAGCTTGAGGCTCTTAATGAGAACCTCAGTACTAATACCAAAAAAAGTTTCTTATTTTGACCTAATTTCCTTTATATTCCTTCAAACTTTTGATTATTCTGTTAGTTTTCTGATGCAAGTGGTGAAACTCTATTGGCCTAAGCAGAAAAGTGGCTTTTAGGAGTTGCCTTGATTGTAGGTATAAGCCAGGGATCTGAAGCAACTTTCTCCATTTTTCTTCTCTACTTTTCTCTGTATGGGTTTCTTTCTTCAGTAGGTCTTGCCCAGACATGTCAGGGAGACATAAACACATAAGTGTAAGCCTGTCAGCTCAGTAACTCAACATCAAGAGGCTACCACTTTCTCTGTAGTTCAAGCAAAACCTCCTTGAGATATCACACTTATTCCTGAATCAACTGCAAAGACAAAAATGATGGAGTACTTCTTGTTGACAAAGCATGTTCCCTAGGACTAGAAGTAGCTTAGTGTCGGTTTCCTCCACATAGACCTGGAAGAGAGGGCACAATTTCCACACTGAGAGAAGCCTAAGAAGGAAGAGATGCAGGACAGAAAACCTCTGCAGGCAAGGCTAGCCTCCTCCATGAAGCTGGGTTTGGGTTGAGATGCTTGTTTTGCAGGCTCGGCAAATTCTCCTTCCAACTTCCAGATTACCTTCGTCCTCCTGTGTGTCATTGGGAGCGTCTCATCAGAGACAGCTTTGAAAACAGCCTTTTATTATTCTCTACTCTGCTTTCACTACATCAGAAATGTCTCCAGGAGAATTACTGTGGAGATAGAAAATCACTGCCTCTCCTGATTATTATGTTTCAAAGCCCCCTGGAGATTGACATTTAATATCATCAGCCTCTATAAAAATTCAGCCAGAATGTCAGCAGCACTGTTTGTGGATACTTTGGTGAGATCACCCCTGATGTTTCTAGTTAATAAGAAGGCAAGGAGATTCAGGCACTCACAGGATCTTGTAAGACCCAAGTCACATTAGTCCTCCTACGCTCAGAACTGTCTTGGTTTTCACAGGAACAGTCTCTTTGGTTTTCCAAAAGTGACTCGAATCTGACTCACTGATATAGCTGTCTCCATATCCTAAACTTTTATATCCTTTCTAGCTTAATTTGTCAGTCTTTGATCTTTGCCAGTGTCTTCCAAACTGTTTTAAATAACATCCAAAAATGCATAAAAATGCCACAGTGTCTATGTTTTCAGCTTGGAATTTTGGTGAGTCACAAACCAAATAATACTGATGGTATTATTTGATGGCCTGCCTGCTTTTTAATAGTTTTTAGGGTTTAAGTTGTTAATTGAGTTCTTCTTTGACTTTTCCAGAATTGTGTGTTACATTTGGGTATGTTCTCTTCTTATCTTTCTTTTTAAGTAAAATAATTCTGTTAGTGTGTTTTGTTCAATTTTAGTGCTGGGGATTAAATCCAGGGCCTTGAGCCCACTAAGAATATACTTTACCACTGAGTTCATTCCTAGGCCGGGTAGTCAGTTTGATACTTGTAATGTAAGGAATAATTGCCTAATAAAATAGAAGTCGGGCTGGGAAGATGGCTCAGTGGTAGAGCACTTGCCTTGCATGCATGAGGCCCTCGGTTTGATTCCCCAGCACCACATATGCAAAAAGAAAAAAAAGATGGAAGTGGTGCTGTGGCTCAAGTGGTAGAGCACTAGCCTTGAGCTGAAGAGCTCAGACACAGTGCCCAGGACCAGAGTTCAGGCCCCATGACCGGACCCCAAAAATAAATAAATAAATAAATAAAAATAAAATAAAATATAATAGAAGTCATAATCAACGATCAGCAGTTAGGAAAAGATAAAGGATTGTGAACATAGATCTGATAGATCTGTCCAGTACGTCCCAAGCTTGGAGTTTGATTCTGAATGCCTCTGTATTTATTTTCTTTCTCTGTATCTCCCCATCTTCCCCCCCACCAATCTCATCAAACAGCCGATTCTGGTGACCAGGACGAGCACATTCTCCAAGAAACAACAGTCCCACCTGTGAATAGTAGCATCGTCGCTGCTCCCATCACGGACCCCTCTCAGAAGTTCCCACAGTACCTACCTCTTTCTGCAGAGGATAATTTAGGTCCTCTACCTGAAAACTGGGAGATGGCCTATACCGAAAATGGAGAAGTCTATTTTATAGAGTAAAGTATACAATTCTTGTTATTCAAATCTCTCTCTCTGTCTCTCTCTGTCTCTCTGTCTCCATCTCTCTCTCTGTCTCTCTCTCTCTCTTTCTCTGTCTTTCTCTCTGCCTCTTTCTGTCTCTCTCTGTGTCTCTGTCTCTGTCTCTGTCTCTGTCTCTCTCTCTCTCTCTGTCTCTCTGTCTGTCTGTCTCTCTCTCTCTGCCTTTCTGGGTTTTTGTTACAGCACTTAGGGGTATAATTTAAATTTAAAAGAACCGGTCACTTACTGATGCGATTCTTTTCTAAGATTTAATGAGCCTTATATCCAAAAGGTATTTATTTATCCATTTCATTCTAGTTATTCAGTCTGAAGAGTTCAGAGAAGGATAAGGTTAGCAATTCCCTAAAAGGTTAGTAAGTAAATCATAGTGTATATAAATTAAGTTGGGATATATAAGTATTATATTTGACCATTAAAATAAGAAATTCCTTTTTTATTCTTTGTTATTTTACTTTTTAATATTTTATTGTAAAGCTGCTGTACAGAAGGGTTACAGTACATGAGTAAGGCAAATGAGTACATTTCTTGTCGAGCATTGTGGGTTTTTTCATCATTGGGTTGTGATTTTTTTTTAACAGTTGTGTTTTCAGATTTCTTCATATATTCTGGATACAATTAATTCCATTACTGTATTTGTGATTCACAGACTTTTTTTTTCAAGTCTGGCTCCTCTTTTCATTGTCGTATTGTGGATTTCAAGGAACAGAAATACTGCTTTGACTCGGTTATCATTGAGATTTGCCCTTTTTTATGGATCCAAAAAAGAGACACAAAGCTAATTAAAACATTTAAACTTAATAGTTCAAGCAACTAGGTTCCATCTCCAACATGTGATAACTAAAATAAAGCAAAATAATAAAGTAAACTCATATGTATGTTTATTATCCCTTCCATAGAATGAAATTGTCAGTCTACTGCTATGGAGACAAAAACAAGAGAGGACATTGTAGAGGAGTATAGGAAGGATCTCACTTCTGTAGTATAGATGATTTGGAGTCAGGTGCTGGTGACTCATGCCTGTGATCTTAGCTACTCAGGAGATTGAGATCTGAGGATCATGGTTCATAGCCAGCCCATGCTGAAAGTCTATGAGACTCTTATCTCTAATTAACCAGCAAAAAGCCAGAAGTAGAGCTGTGACTCAAGTGGTAGAATGCCTACCTTGAGTAAAAAGCCAAATGAGAGCACAAGACCCCGAGTTCAAGCCCTAGTACCAGCACTAAAAATTAATAAATGAGTAAATAAATAAATTCATGTCTAGACACAATACATTATGTAGCAGAGATATACATGTGTTTCTGTGAAAAGGTTTGGAAGTATCTTAAGGAATTACTATATAACATATTTTTTATATGTATCATATAAAGAATGAAAATGAGAAAACATAATTTCTCTCTAACCGATTGGGATTGACTAGAAAGGCATAGAGCTTAGGACAGCCTCTTTGAGAACACACCACCTAGGGGGAAGTCTGAGCTCTGTGAGTTCCCAGTCAGAGAAGGGCCAGTCTGTCCAATTTTTGATGCTAACACAATTAACCAGCTAAAAACTGGAAATGGAGCCATGGCTCAAGTGGTAGAGTTCTAACCTTGAGCAAAAAGGGAACAGTGCCCAAGCCCTGAGTTGAGTTTAAGCTCCAGGACTAACACACACACACACACACACACACACACACACACACACAAAGATAAGAAAGGTAACTTTTTCTGGGAGTCAGAGAAGTGCAGTGATTGACCTGAAAGGTCACACTATTGGCTCCACTTACTACTTGTGTGACTTACCAGTTGGGAACTGAGTTTCCCTGTCTGTAAGAGAAGGAGATGAGGGTACTACACGCTTACCTTGTCACACAGTGGTGAGAAGAGAGGAGATGATCCTGTGAAGGACTTGGGCCAGCAGTAATTAGTCATTCCTGCTTCTCTTACCGTTTTCGTCACTGCAGTTATTACAGAGGAATTTGAGCATTGTTAGAGGAAAACTGAGTGTCAGCGATAAGCCCAGAATTTTGTGCTTTGCTTTTGTTACAAATTGCCTTCAAAATTATGTCCATTAAGAAGAATTGTGCTGAGAAAAGGAAAGTATAATAGAAGCATTCTTGATACAGAATAATGTGTGAACGCAAATCTGTGGATAAGAATATACCTGTAATTTCACTCAAGTCTGAATTAGACATTGGATATGCTAACGGTTAGGGATAAGCTAGCCTCACAAATAACACTAGATACTTCTTTTTCATACTTGAATTTAGCTTTTACATGGAAAGAGGCCAGTGTCTCATTGGTCTAATGTTCAGAAAGTGAAGTGAAAATGTGGCCTGTGACAAGCATGGATTTGTTCCTCACTTAGATTTCGAATCTCATAGATATTGACTCTACATAGCATTTTTGGCTGGGGTCATAGCTCAGCAGAAAGACCTCACCTGATATACGTGATGTGCTGGGTCCAATCTCTAGCAATAATAGTAGTAGTAGTAGTAGTAAGGAGGAGAAGGAGGAAAAGGAAGAAGAGGAAGAGGAGGAAAGACAAATACACAGCATTTATGTGGTAGCCTAAATAATATATTTGCTGGTTACTGAGTTTTCAAGTGTTTTTCATTCAGAAAGATATCTTCTTGGAGCTCTTACATTGAATAGCAAGTTAAACTAGAATTTGTTTTGTGTATGTTTTACAGTTTTGGAAGTATCTAAAATACTAGTATGAAAAAAATCCAAAATGGACCCAGGAACCTTGGACATTGTGTAGAAAACAAATCTGAGGGCCTTTGAAAGGAGAAGCAAGTCAAGCACAGGGCCTCCCCACCTAGGAAGCAAAGGACGGCCAGGGGAACCATTTCTGGGGTTTTCTTTTTACTTCATTTATATCAGGTTTGGAGCAATCCAAAAATGCCAGTGGATAAGACACAACAAGTCCTAAGGAAAACTTAGTTTCCCTGGTCAAGGCATCAGGAAGAAAGCATCCCATGTGCCAGGACTCTCGTCCAGCAGCTCTTTTACTCCAGCCTTTGGTCTTCCTCCTGCTCTGACAAAGTCATGTGGGAGGCTGGGCCTTTCCCCTTGATAAGGTGCCCAAACCTTTGCTACCCAGTGCTGTCAGAAAGACTGAATGCAAAATGAGTGCTTTGCTTTGAGTAAGGTGAAAGCCGTGAGGAAGTCTGGATCTTCACGTCCATCCCGTGGACAAATGCATGGTTCCCCTGCCATGTTCAAAGAGGATAAGAAGAGGCAGGATGCTCACTTCCGTCATGTGGTGGAGTTCACCGTCTTCCGGGGGAGTAGCAACCCCAGTGGGGATCAGTAGTGAGATTTTTACCGGCTCCCAGACACGTGGCTATTAAAGCTGAGGGAGCTGGTTTACCCACTTCCTCTATAGAATCAATCAAAGCCAGGAGGAACCCCCCCTTTTTTTTTTAAGGAATTTCAGGGGCAGCCATCTAATTAAAAATTTAAATAACATTCAGTCTGTAGTATAATACCCAAAATGTTCAGGTTACTTTTTTTTAAAGTCTTTTTTACTGAGAACCACGAAGATCTAAAATTGGGAGAGAGAAGCAAGTCAATAGATGCTAACACGAAGATGACAGGAATGTTCGATTGTCTAGTGAAGATTTTCAAAACATTCATTATAGCCAGGTGTGATGGGGTACACCTGCATTCCCAGTACTTGGAGGCTGAGACAGAAGGATCTTGAGTTTGAGGCCAGCCTGGGCTATGTAGCAAGACCTTGTCTCAAAAGGTAAAATAAAGTAAAATGAAACTAAAAGCAGCCATTATAAAAAATACTCCAGTGAACAACTATAAGTTTTCTTGAAACAAGTAGGTAAAAAAGATCAGCCAAAAATAAAGCCTCAGCAAAGCAGTAGGAGATAATAAAAGACAAAAAATAGCAAAGAAAAAAAAAAATGAACTAAAAAAACAGCATAAAATAAAGAGCTTACTAGATGGATTCAACAATATCCAAATGTTTAAGAATAGAATGGAAGGGAACAGGAAAGGAATTAACTTAGAAAATAAAATTACTCAATCTGAGCAACACGGAAAAATTGGGGTTTTTAGTTAATAAGAAAATATTTAACATTTGTCATCAGAATCTCAGGAGAATGACAAAAAATTTAAAGTGAGAAAAATGGAAGAACTAATACTTGAAAATTCCCAGATTTGACAAAAGAAATAAAATTAAAGAGATAAGAAACGAGATGAATGAACTAAAAGAAACTGCACTGTGAAAATCAGAAACAAAAAAAAAAAACATTCAACATTCAAAAAAACAAAGGCCAGATGACAGTTCACTTTTGAGAAATGGCAGAGGATGGAAGGAAGTGACAAAGTATTTTTCAGGTGCTGAGAGGAAAGAAAAATTAAGCCAATGTTCTCAGCCCACAAAAAATATTCTTTAGATTGAAGAGAAAGTTCAAACACTCATAGATGAAAAAACAAAACTAGCAAAATTTGTCACCAGTAAATCTGAATTTAGAGATTTAAATGCTTTAGTGAAATACTTCAAAAATCTTTCATTCCTACCCCTAGCTACAGCTGAACTTCAAACTTGGGGAAAAAACATTAGGTTACTGCCTACACTTTTAATTCAAGTCACAGTGACTCAAATCTGTAATCTTAGCCACTTGGGCAGTAATCAAAGTGGCGCCTTCTGAGGCCAGCACAGGCCAAAAAATCCAAACCAAACCAAACCAAAACATTTTTCTAGACTCCTTCTCAATAAATGGCTGGGCCTGGTGACATCTGCTTGTCACCCCCAGCTTCAAGGAGCATCAGTAATTGAAGCATTGCATTCTAGACCAGCCTAAGCATAAAATAAAAATTTTATATCTCAAAAGTAAACCAACACACGAAAAAGATTAGAGGTGTAGCTCATCAGAAAAGTCCCTACCTAACAAGTGTGCAGTCCTGAGTTCAATGCTTCATATAGCCCCAAATAATATTTTTTGTTTTAATTTCTGGTTTGTAGCCAGAGTTACTAGAGTGCTTACTTGCACTGTACTGGGGAATAGGGGGTTCAAACTGAATTGTGTCCCAAGGTTGTTCATTGGCTTAGAGAAGCAGAGCTGACTTCTTCCAGCCATGCCTGTGACATTCTTGACAGGACTGAAGGACAAGATCCTTGTCAGTGTCTGTCAGTCTCTACTCAAAGGCCTGGGTTACTGTGGGATCACTTTGTGTGGGCTTGACTGGCTCCAGCAAGAGGCAGGGGTGTGGCAGGCTTCGCTTCCTCAAGCTTGTGCTTGGGGAAGCCTCTGGGTTCTGTTTGTGATTGACTGGTCATCATGGGCCACATTTGGTACAGGAGCAGCATGATTTAGGATGCCATGATGAATGAGATATATTAGTAGGTTTGAGTCGCATCCATGAATTGTAGTTTCACACTGCCACCATAATGTTTACATATAATACAGTGGGTGAAATCACCATCTTCATTGTGAATTTCAGCATCCAAGATTTCAGGCATAGGCAAATTTAAGGCAGAAATTTTTCCCTGGTAGTGAGAAGGCTAATAGTAAAAGTAAGTGTTGGCCAATAGACAATATGAGCAGAGCATGTCATTTCTCCCTAATTTTCTCAAACTAAAGCTTGTATTTTAAGCTCTTAGACATCAAATGATGATGACTTAGATATGAAAAATGCCTCACTGAGACCTGTCAGCTATTGTATCAGTTCAAACTCTAGTTTTGTAGGTTGGATTTGTTGGAAAATATCCTTGCTTTGGTTGAGGAACTAATATTCAAATGTGCATAATTCGGTCATTATCTTTTTTCTTTCTTTTTAACCCAACTTCTTTTTGTTTTTGGATTGCAGCCATAACACGAAAACAACATCTTGGTTAGACCCTCGGTGCCTGAACAAGCAGCAGAAACCTCTGGAAGAATGTGAAGACGATGGTAAGGCTGAGGAAGGCTCTGGTTCAATGAGTTAGAGGGTTATTTATATGTGAAAATGTAGACGGTAGTAAGGCAGATTGGTTTTTACCATTGAATTTGTAGGTGGTAACTCAATTTCTAAGAAAGGCACTGCAGTTTACAAAGGCTAGTAAAAAAAAATCTGGTGGAATAGTTGGAGAACAATTGCTTTACATGTAGGCCTGGGCACACACCAGAATCTCCATTGGCAATAGAACCTGAGCTCAAATAGAGCAGAACAGAGCTATTCACAAGTGGATTGTATCTTCTCTGCCTTTGGGTACTTGAGAAAGACTTAGTGTCTAGAAATAGAGAAATCAGGGATGCTGTGGTCATTCAGACCCCCAACTTTACATTATAAAAGTCAAGAGGACAATTTTTGTTTCACAAATTTGGGAACAGCAGAAGTAGATCTTGACGTGCAGGGGATAGCTGTGTAACATCAAATACCATGATTTCTGTTTTAAGGAAGAGTTGAGATGTTAATGATTCCTTCACCTTGCCTGTTCATCTTGGGAACAAATTAACTGTCTCTAAGAGTTTTTGTTGGAGATGTTTATATCTAGGCATTGGTGATTCTAGTTATTTCTCCATCTTGAAAAAGTAAGACCCAGCAAGCACATTCCTTTCCAACAGTCCACTGGAATCTATCCCAAATTCTGCTAAAATTGCAGTCTTGTGGACTTATTAAAAGGAAAATGGCTTGCTCTGCTGTTCATTATTCATTTCTGACATTTGAATTAGTAGTATAATTATGGAATCCATATTTTCCTGTAAGATAAACATTATTAATTTCTCTTGAAGAATTGTTGTGTATGTATATGGAAATGGGAGATTTAAAAATACAGGCCAGTATTTGAAAGTATATCCTGTTTAAACTTTGTGCTCCAAGATACCCTCTTTGTACATGGTTTGTAGCTTGCATGGAGTGAACATATTGTGTTCATGTTTATTTGAACAACTTCAAGTAGAAACGCATGTACAAAGTTAAGATACTCATTTGATTTTGAGCTGCCTGGACCCACTGCTGGAGGGGAGCTGTTGCAGGATCCGTTCTTTGTTTCACAGGCTCAGGGAATAACAGACTATTTCAATTATTCAGATTTAATATGTGGGTAACCAATTTTCCAAGATTGGGAAATAATTTAACCATAAAACTTTGCAGAATGAAACAATCTTTATTTGATGATTGAATTTTAAGGGCAGTCCAAGGGCTCTTTTTTCTTTTTTTGGTCTTTTCCTTTTTTGGTGCCAATACTGGGGCTTGAAATTGGGGTATTGTGCTCTCCCTTAGCCATTTTGCTCAACGCTTAAACTCAGGACTTCATGCTCTCACTTGCCTCTTGTAATTAAGGCTGGGACGCTACCACATGAACCAGATCTCCACATTTAATTAACTAATTAATTTTTTATTAATTTTAGTTAATCCAATTAGTTAATTGGAGATAAGAGTCTCTCAGGATTTGTCTGCCCAAACTGGCTCCAAGCTAAGATCCTCAGATCTAAGCCTCCTGAGTAGCTTGGATCAAAGTTATGAGCCACCAATACCCGGCTGGTTCAGGTACCCATACTACCTACCATGGAGTCTTTGATATCAATATTCATTCTAAGAAAACTGGGACTATATGAAGATGCCTGCTAACATGATTATATAGATGAAGGAGACAACAGGAGCTTTTGTGGAGAAAAACTGTTATTGGAGCAAAAGCATTAAAAACTGAAGTTACTAAATGTTTTCATTACCAAAAATTACTAATTTTTCACTGTTAGAATACTTAGGATTTGTTATTGCCTTTAGTGTAGAGTATATATTCATACCAAATGTAGTTAGTTTAGTAATCATCCCTTTAACATTAGAATTAATATGTTTGTTACTAATAGAAGCTATGTATATATGTCTGTGTGTCTGTACACATGTAGCATAAAATAAATACCCAGATATGGCTAGCATCTATTAACACAAAGCTGCCTCATGTTGTTTATATTATGTCACAAATCAGGGAAACATTTACTGCTTCACAAATATTGTCCCTGGTTTTTTAAGTGTTTTTTGGTTTTGTAGTGCTGGCGATTGAACCTGTGTCCCCTCACATGCAAGGCAAATACACTCCCCATGGAGCCACATCCCTAGTTTGACCTGTTTCTTTCTATGCTCTGTAGTTCATAAGCACTTGGGATGTAACAGTGTTATACTTAGTTATTGTAAAGATGTTGTATTCTCTTTTGGCTCTCTTAAAAAAGAAATAATGACCTAGTTTGGAACTGTGATCTTCAGTATATTAATTACCCTTTTGATCATTGCTCAGTGTCTAGCTTTATTAGAAGACTCTGACCTTGCCTTTGAGTTCCAGACAAACATTCGCATCCCAACTCAAACATGCTTCAAATTCTCTGATTAAAAGCAAACTAACGATCATCCCCACCCCCCAAAGTCTTTCCTACACTTCCCAGTCACCATGGAAGGTAAATTCCTGTAGACTCTAGAGTCCCTTGGTCTGAATTTATTTGGCCTCCTAAGTATCTCTGAAATCCATTCCATGTTTTCTTCACCACCTGTGCTTTTCTCCCTAGGCCACACCTACTTCCCACCTGGACCTTTACCTGCTTCCTCCTTCTGCTGCACTCACAACTATGTCCCTTCAATTCAAAAGTGCTGATATTACCCCCTGACTAACCCTCTAACTCTGCAGCCTGTTCAGTGCATGCCTGGTCCTTAACCTGCTGTTTTCAGCATAGATCTTACCATTTCACCAACCAAGTACCTGTTCCAAGTGCTCTAGGTTCTTCAGATACTGCAGTGAATCAATAGACAGGAAGCCCTGTTCTCAAAAAGCAATTCTGGTCATTTTTTCACCAGTCTTTTTGTTAAATTTGCAGATCTTTCCTTCAGATTTCATCTGGGAGACCTTATCTAGGGTCTTACTTTCAGATCAGACAAGGTCACTCTGCAGTGAATTTTCTTTTTCTTTTTTTTGGGGTGGGGAGGAGGGTCCGGTCGTGGGGCCTGAACTCTGGGCCTGGGCGCTGTCCCTCAGCTCTTCAGCTCAAGACTAGCACTCTACCACTTGAGCCACAGCACCACTTCCGACTTTTTTTCTTTTTGCTTATGTGGTGCTGAGGAATCAAACCCAGGGCCTCATGCATGCAAGGCAAGCGCTCTACCACTGAGCCACCTTCCCAGCCCTGCAGTGAATTTTCTTTAGAGAATTCACTACAGGGTTAACTTTACATCTCTTAGCTTTGGACTTGCACCTTTGGACTTGGAGAAAGTCTGCTCCTTTGAGATCTCTGCCACTCAGCATGATGATCTCAGTAACTAATGATTGAAGAAAAAAAAAAAAGTAAGAGCCTTCCCATAGATATTATTCACCAACCCCCATGCGGGCAATTTCCACCAGTGCTTTTGTATAAACCAAATAGCCCCATTAAAGAAACAATGTCAGTCCACACTGTGGGCATCTCGATAGTTTGTTGTTGTTGTTGCTTTTGTACCAGTACTAGGGCTGCTTGAATTCAAGCCCTAGGTGCTGTCCCTAAGCCTTTTCCCTCAAGGCTGACTCTACTGCTTGAGCTACAGCTCTTCTTCCAGCTTTTTGGAGAGGAGTTAATTGGAGCTATGAGTTAATTCCCGTGTTCCTGGAGCTACTCTGGGTACGGGATGTGCCACAGTGGTGAGAACAGGTCGGACCCTGTGGTCCCTGTGTTTTTGAGGTTTCAAGTGGGTACAAGAGCCACTTGCTGTGGAACTGGGGAGACTTTATGTATGCAATGATGTCATGTGCTTGCACCATGCTTTCTTCTGAGTAATAATGAAATGTTTTTTACTGGCAGCCAGCAGAGGTCAAGAATAGAAAGGATTTTGGCTTGTTTTGCTTGCTGAAATCATTGAGAACATTTTTTTTATTCTACTGTTTCTGAGCCATTTGACTTAGAACGTTCACATACAAATAACCACAAAAAGCAATGCTCTCTGCCCCTTCGGCATAGCCTTCCAGCCCCGCTTCCTTGATGCCCATCACCAAGGACAGTTCATCTTTGGAGCTTCTATTTGAAAAGACATTGAGCTCATTAAACAATCTGCTTTCTCCATTCATCCTCGACTTCCATTTTCCAAGCGGCAGTTATTACTTATAAGTGAAGTAATGCTTTAATTGTGAGTGTAATTGCCTCTCCGATGAGCGGATTATGGGAGGATTAAAAGAACTAACATTGAAAGGTCTAACAGCTTTGTTTGCTGCAAATAAGGTCTGAAATAAGTGACTTCCCTCTTAAGAACATTGAGACCACAAAGGTATTTGTCATCTTTTATAACCAACCAAACCCTATTTTGACATGCAAGGAAATGAGCTGTATAATTATTTTGCCAATACCAGTTCCTAGTGTTCTGTGATTTACACTGAGGTCGCCCGGTTACTAGCCAAGCCAATGAAATTAAACCACAATGCAGGTAAGGACAAAACAAAAATGATGTGTTTGCTGCTGTTTTGTTTTGTTTTGTTTTGTTTTCCTGAGGGAAGTTTCTTTCTTGGTGCTGGTGTCTGAATTTTTCTTCTTTCTTTTCTGTCTCCTTCCCTCTATTCCTTTGGAGAAGAAGGGGTACACACCGAGGAGCTGGACAGTGAACTAGGTAAATGTTCTTTCTGCCTTGCTCTGCATGACCACCTTGCATGTTGGGTTGTTTAATCCAGCTGTTTTCTTCCCATCACCCCTCAGCAGTACGGGCTTCACACTTAACTAAGCAAGCACTCTTTAACACTTTAGCCACACCCATGGTCTTCTGCTTTTGTTAGTTTGTTTTTCAGATAGGGTCTTCCACTTTTGCCCAGAAGGCCTTGGAGTAGGACCCTTTTACCTTGTCTCCTGAGTAGCTGAGAAAATAGGCATGCACTACCATGCCCAACTAACCCTTCTGTTTCTTGAATTTACACTTTACCCCTCATATGTTCACCTATAGCCATCATGTAAGTTATGCGCATGTTGTCTACAAAGAAAGAGTGTGAGTGAATTTGAAGTTGGAATTAAGAAATAAGCAAATTGGCCAAGAGTCTTGTAAATTGAGGATGGGGAAAGAACTAAGTTGTGACCTTTGAACTTTCATGTAACCTGATTCAGCCTCATTGCTTTATTTGTTTAGTGCAGAACAAAACAAAAACCCACAAGTTGAATTGAATTTATGATTGTTGTAGAGGTAGTTACAACAAAATAATTTCAATGATGAATAGTTACTGAGTCTTCTGGTTGTATTATTATTGTTGTTATTATTATTAAGTCATGGACCTCAGATTGCTGATCTTTTATCATTGTGGTGAATGTTTTGGGAAATAGATGTAGTATGTATTTGTGCCATCTCCCTGAGAGGCTATGTATCAATGTAAGTCTCATCTTGACTGTGATAGCTTTTGTGGGTTAGAATAATTTGCTTACATAATACCAAACTTTTTTATCTTTGCTGTTGGAATATATTTGATTATATTCCCTTTAAGTTCCTATGTTCAGATTTGAACAATATTAAAATTACTTTGCATTCCATCTCGTACGTCCATTGAGAGCTCAATAAAAAAGTACAAATTTCAGCTCAATTGCAGATGTAATCCTTAGCTAGTAGAAAATTGGCCAAACCTATTTTTAAGTACAAGGTTGACATTAATATGAGTGGAACTGTCCTCAAGATTATTGAATCCTGGAAATTTTTCAAATTGTCTTATGATCTAAAAATATATTTAATATAGGCTATTATTTTCATTTGGTTTTCTTTTGTTATATAGATAAAAGCAATTTGGGTTGATAATTCTAATATAGAATTTAGTTCTGTTTCTCTTCATGTTTGGAAAATATCCTGTTATAATTGACATATGCTCCTATTTGAAAACTATTGAGGCCGGCCAGCCAGCTGACTTTCTTTCTTTCTTTCTTTCTCTCTTTCTCTCTTTCTTTCTTTCTCTCTTTCTTTCTCTCTTTCTTTCTGTTTCTTCTTTCCTTTCTCTCTTTCTTTCTTAGCTTGTTTCTTCTTTCTTTCTTTCTTTTCCCCCCTCTCCCTTCTTCCCTTTGTTCCTTTCTTTGGTGTTTTTCAATACTAGGGATTGAACCCAGGGTCTTATTCATGGCAGGCAAGTACTCTACCACTTGAGTTATAACACAGTTCATTTTTGTTCTGAGACAGTTTGAAACTAGTATTATTTAGGAGAGGAAAAAAGTAATTTAGTGATATTATATTTTAATAAAAGGATTTATTGATATTAGATAAAGTGATTGGAAAAAGAACTAAGTTTTCTATATACAAAATGACTGTCTTATTTGTTAAACCAGTTTCAACCACTCTGGATACGTAAATAATACATGTGGATGTCTGCCCCTCAGTGGCAGTGGGGGAGTAGATAGTACAGCTATGAACAGGCACACATCCTTAATTGTTTTGTGCAAGTTACAGTGCGGAAATTTGAAAAAGACATTTGTGTAGTTTCCCTCATGTAACTGTGGGAACTTCCCTGTTGTGTTAATGATGGTGGAAAATGACTTCTAATGCTACATAATGCCCCTTGTTAAAGTTGTAGTTGTAATTGGGAGGTGGATTAGGTTCTGTTGTGGAGCTGTCTCAGGGGTCATATTAGACAGTCTGGCTTTCCTACTTCCTGGCTCCTCCACTTCCTGGCTCCCTAGTTATTGGCTCTACGACCATGGCAAGTTGGTCCACCTTCTCCTTGACTCCCCTGGTACTTCTGAGACCTAGTGAAAGTGAATGCATTACCTATCCCTGTGATCATCACATGGCGGCATTATACCTCTCTTTCTGGATTTAACACTCCATCACAGCTCTTGATCCCTTTAACATGAGACAAGAGAGGAGTATGTTGTTTTCTAGAAAAGACCCAAATATGTTCCTGTCAGTAGAGTGGATATGACAGTCCATTTTGGCCTGCCCCAGTCTTCTGTATAAAGAGGACTGTATATGCACATACATACACACTTATCTTGCATTTACTCCAGATTTTTTTTTTTTTGGACAGAATTTTCTTAATAAAAGGGGCTTAATTTCAAGCAAAAGGAATTTTTGGGTTTTCAGTGCACATAGATCCAGATGCTAGAAGGAATCTTTCTCTAACCTGCCTCTAGGAGGGGTGGATGGTTGCTGTGCATGTTGAACATACTTCATTCAGTGATAGAGTGTTATTCTGAACTCTTCAGTTTGGGCAGTGCACACTTGTGATTTGTAGATTTTTATCATGTGTTCTACAGAACCATCCCTTGAACCTAAAACCCCTGTACAACCTTCTTCAGGAACTACAGGGTCCTGGAGGGAGTGGAGTCTATTGGGGGAGGCAGAGATAAGAGAGTGAGTCTCTGAACCAGAACATTTAATCCACTGTTGACCTTTGCAGTAACTCAGTTCAGAGAAGTTAAGCTACCAGCTTAAAGCCACAAGGCAGTTTGTTGCCAATATATATCGTCCTGTGGGTATCCTTGTTGCAGTGGGTCATGCTGTATCCTTGTTTCAGTGTTTTGTTATTCCCCTTCCCCTCCCCAGATCAGACAAATGTATATACAAGATGCAGAATACCAAAATCAAGGACAGTGACAACAGGGGATATTCCATAGGAGGAAGAATATACAAAGAAAACAAAAAAAAATCACATAGTGCATTTAAAACAATAACAACAAAGACAGACCTCTTGTGTCCATATCTTGGGGTTCATTTCACTTAGCATCATGTTATGTGGACATATATACATAGCTTTTGAGCTTTTCAGCTCATCTTATAAGATTATCCTTTATGTATACTAATTATTGCAAATAAGGGAAACCATGGGACCTAAATTTCTTTGGGACTGGCTTACTTCACTTAGTATGGTTTTTTTTTTCCAGGCAGAGGTGGGATGGGGTGGGAGGAGTGTGGTGGGGGGAGGGAAGGGATAATGGGACAACAGCAGGGAAGGGGTACAATGCTGGACAAGTCATGCACTCACTGCCTTACTCATGTAACTGTAACCCCTCTGCACAGCATCTTTACAATAAAATAATTTTTTTTTAAAGCCACAGGTCAGTCAGTCTTAGTGGTAGGTAATGTTCAGTCCCAGATGTTCTAGAAGGGTCTCAGTTCCTTCTGAGTTCCATAATTGGTTATATAATCTTATTTCTTTCCTGATTAGACATGCGGTATTGGGTGTTTAGCTATGTTTATTTTTATTAAAGCTATAATACCTCTTTCTGAGCTTAAATATTTTCTGCCATTATTAGCTTCTTAGAACCAAATGGCAAATTCTAGGACAAACACCCTCCCCCGCCCCCAATCCCTACCCCCTTTTTTTTTTCAAATCGATGACCCATTTCTATTTTAAGCATTAGGAGACTAATTCCTGTTATTAAGTTAATCACCATATTGGAGGCAAGAAATTTTTATCTTTTCAGTTCAAAATGACTTTTAACTTGAAAAACTGGGAAAGTTGTTTCATCTGTTCCAGAAGGGTTTAAATTGGGAAATATCCAGAGATACCATTCTTAATACTCTCATTTCTCAAGCCCAGAATCCCTAAGTGGGTACAAGGTAACAGGTCAAAGTAGAGTTGGCTTCTTATGGCATCATTGGGCCTCCATCAAAGCATGTGCCATGTCGCTGTATTTTTACCCACAGTACACTTACATTTAACCTTGGGTCCCCATGTTTAACACCTCATCAGGTAAACAGTGAGCATTCAATAAATGTCTGTTATATAAACAAATGGATATTTCCCCCATTTTATGGAAAGATAATCAGGGCAAATATTTCTGGTTGCACATTTTGGAAAGAGGTCTGACTTGTTTAATCATGATATGGTCCTTTGCACTCTCCCATTCTTCTACCCCCTGTTACTCTTGCTCCTATTTGCATTTTTTTAATCTTCAGTTTCTCAACTCTTTGGAAATATTTTCCTGGTTCATTTTCATTTAAATGGTAATTTCCAGCTTTGTAAGGAGAAACCATTTCCCAGGCATTTGATTTGTGTCAGTCCACAAGAACCCATATATAAAAATGCCAAGTTGTGTCAATGTCTGATTATTGGACCTGCCTTGCATTTTAGTAGCTGGTGTCTCCTGAATTAAAAAAAAAAAAAAAACTTCTTTAAAAATTGTTAAGTGGGTTTAACAAAAGTAGAAAGAAAAGAGAAAATCTGTCTCTGTTTGCAAATAAGTAACGTGGAAGAAATCCCATGAAATTAGTGTCTCAATATACAGCCACTTCCAAGCAAAGCACAACCTTTGAGTGTTTTCTAGACTGCATGTATTGGTATGTTTTTGTGATCATGGGAACCACCCTCTCACTCTGGGACTGTTCGTGACATATCTGAGCCCTACACTGATTCGACAGTCCTGATCACATGATTCCTTGAATTAAAAATAAAGTTTCAAAATGATATTTCTTGCAAGTGTTTGTGGTATTCCATTCAATTTGCTCTTAATAATGGCCACTAGGAATAATGATTCTCTTTGGAGTACAGTAGTATTCAAGCCTGCTTTAACTGCTTCTGAATCAAATTGTGTAATTGCTGCTCTCTGAAAGGACTGTTTGATGACACAAACAACAACCTAGGTGCTTGTTTCATAGTGGAAAAAAGTAATAGATCCTTGTAACAAAACTTGCAATTGCCTACTTAACAAATCAAGTTCCACCGTTTCATAGGAACCCTTAGGAAGTAAAATCCAGTGGAGCATAGCTGAGTCTCCTAAAGATGCAGAAATTCTCCCATACCCAGTAGTACTAAGATCTGAACTCAAAGTTTTACACTCGCTATTATTAGAGCTCCTCTACCACTTGAGCCACCGTTGTACCCCTTTTTGCTTTAGTAATTTTTCAGGTAGGGTTTCATATTTGTTTTTTTGCCTAGGCTAGCCTCAGACTATAATTGTTATTACCTAGTTATAGCTGGGATTACAGCTATGCACCATGCTTGGCCTGGGTTTTGCTTGAGCAGGTCAAATGCTAGTGATGATGAACTGGCTCAAATATGGAGCAGAATAATATAAGTGTGCCGCTGAAGAACCTACCTCTGTGTGGGCATTTTATTTGCTCAGTAGCATTTTAATTAGGAGAGAGGAGAAAATCAGATGCAGATTTAATTTTCTTCCAGGGAAAGCAAAACAGGACTATTGTATTGAAAATAAGTAAGAAACATTAATTTTCATCTAGTTTTGCTTGTGCAGTAAGGTAGTGTGGAAACAAAATGAGAAAAGTGTAAATATTAAAGGTAGGAGCTAGACATTTCAGGCAAATTTTAAGTATTTCTAATAAAACCTAATTTAATAGTTGGTTAAAAATAAAGACAGCTGGGACTGCATTTTATTAAGTTTTATTTCTAGAGTAAAACACCAGTAGATAAAATATTGTTCTTCATATAAGAAAGTACACTGAACAACAATGAAATACTAATAACGATACATACTCTTCCATTTGGTTCAGATACACAGTTTTAATTGGGTTTCAGGCATTTTCATGAGCCTCCCTCCCTCCCTCCCTCCCTCCCTCCCTCCCTCCCTTCCTTCCTTCCTTCCTTCCTTCCTTCCTTCCTTCCTTCCTTTCTCCCTCCTTCCCTCTCTCCCTCCCTCCCTTCCTCCCTCCCTCCCTTCCTTCTTTCCTTCCTTCCTGCCTGCCTGCCTGCTTTCCTTCCTTCCTTCCTTCCTTCCTTCTTTCCTTCCTTCCTTTTTCTATATACTCTATTGTTGACAGTGTCCAGGCTCTTCAAGAATCCACTTACCTTGCTATAAATTTTGTTTTTCTATTCAGAACTGCCTGCTGGTTGGGAAAAGATCGAAGACCCTGTCTATGGTGTCTACTATGTAGAGTAAGTGCTTTTTGATAATCTCTACATTCTTTCTGTTTTAATGGCATGATTTGCATCTATAGCAAGCTTGCTATCATGACAAGGTACTAAATAACGTTGTAATTAATTTTATAATGAAAATATGAATATTTCAATGAATGAGAATATGCTCAGTGTATCTGAAGATAGTAGATTATGTTAGCAAATTCAAGCGGGCAGATTTCATATTGTTTGGTTACTTCCCATAGTTCAAAACAGAATATGGTCCTGGCATATGGCAAATGCTTGGTAAGAGCTAGTTGAAGGAATGAATGAGAAAAGCCAAGATCCCATAGAGAAAATAAATGAGGATCATGTACTTTCAGAAGTATGTATTTGGCCTACTTTTTTTTGGTCATGCCCGGGTCAGAACTTCTCAGTAATTACTTATTCATTCTGACATTCTAAAAATGCTTGAGCAATGTTAATAATTGATGAAATGTTACCAAGAGTAAGAAGGAAGTGGAGAAGGAGGCAAAGTCACATGATGTGTAACCTCTATTTCTCTTTGCCCCTCCCTTCTTGGGGACTACATTTGTAGTCCTGTTTACTGTTTTAACCTGAGCTCTTCATTGTGGACTTTATTCCAGCATGAGGTACACCTGTCCTGAGAGTTATGGATTGGTAAAATGATATTAAAAGAAATTAATGCCCGAAAGATAATATGCTGGACAAGTATGCTGCATATCTTTTCTTCTTGAAAAGGATAAAATGTCCTTTGAAAGAAAACAAGACTATAAATTTTGCATAATCTACTGCTTATGCAAATAAAGATAACAGGCATGTTTTCTTTCCCTTATGTTACTGGCAATGAAAAATTCCTCTGTATAATGTCCTGGTGAAATGAACATACGATGTAAACATCCCAGACTGTGAAATACTTAGCATCTTACTATAAAAAATTTTTAGTTCAATACAGCAAGTGTCCTCAGCCAGCACTAAGTGGCTTTCTCTGTACCTAACAAGAACAGTTGGTAATCTAGGCCATAGAAGAGGCAAGTGAAATTAATTCTCTGACCCTAGCAAATACATTTCCTTTGCTAGTACTGCAGTTTATCTTTTTTTTTTTTTTTGTCACAGTGAAGTTTTGCTACTTGGGACTCATTTTCAAACTGTCACTCACCTAGACTGTGCACATAGTAAGGAGAAAAACGGGGAACAACTGTGTTGGTGACAGGAGACATTTGGTATTTGAGGGGCAAGGGATTATCTTACCCTTCAATGTCTTAGAAGTCTGTGCCTTGTAATACTTGAGTCTCATTGATGTTAATAGAAGACTAATGCTTACATTGAAAATGCCTATAAGAATTAAAAACTAAACAAGTATTTCTTTAATATGAATTAAGGAGAATCAGTCTATCCATGCTGTTAGATAAATTTGTCTTCGAAAAGGAAAGCTTGATTTTAGAGCTCTACATAATCAGATTATAATTATGTCCCTAAATGTCTAATGAGCCATTGTTTTTGTAAGTATGTACATGCACATATATGGATGTGTATATGCTTGTATATTTGCATGGGCTTGTATCTATATACACATGTATACTTAGACATACTCAATAAACAGGCCATGGCTTTATTTATGTATTAGTGTGTGTATGTATGTTTTTGCCATGACTTTATTACATAATCATCTAAAATGTCTGGGTCTTTGTCACATTGAACACATCACATCTGCTTAGGCTAGCTATATTTGGAGTCTTTTTTCCCCCCTAAGGGCTATACTTTTCATTCTGCCTTTGTGTCAGATGATCAGAGTAGTTGACAGATATTTAGAGTTGTTTTCACTTAACTGTTGTGGCGAGCACTTAAGTTTCTGCCTTCTGTGCAAGGTTCCATTGCAGTCCTCGTGTTGTAGACAGCTTCACCCATCTGCTTTTATCTGACTTCTCAGAAATGCCAAAGTCTTCTTGTGGAGTTTAAGCAACTTCCCCCACGAGGCGATACCTTGGAAATTGGAGTAAAGTCACATCTTGGAATTTGAAAGCAGACAGCCCTGAGCTTCCAGGCCTGTTATTCCTTAGTAGCTATGTTATATTCAAGGAATTCATAACTCCTCAAAAGTTTATTTATTTATCTTTAAATTTTTCTTGTGGTCATAAAGGTGAGGTACAAAGCGGTTACCATTTCATAAGGCTGGTACTGAGCATATTTCTTTTTGGACAATGTCACCCCTTCCTTGTTCTCTCCCAGCGTTTCCTTCCCATCCCCACCCACAAGTTGTACAGTTCATTTTCAACATAGTTTCCACTGCTGCATTTGTTCACCTCATGTGTCTCCATTTTTGTGTCCCCTCTTGCCTCCCCTGAAGACAGAAAAATGAAAAACAAAAAAAGAAAAGTTAAAAAAAAAACCCTTTGCTTCCATTTCCTGGAGTTCATTTTGATAAATACATTTTTATATGCTCAGCGGCACATTGTGCCTTTGTGTTCCTCCCCTAAGAATGTCCTCCTTTGGTTTCACTGTGTGTGAATGCCTGGAGTCCTGTACAATTTATCTTACTTTTTATTTTGAGGAAATACAGTAGCCCCCTCCATACCCCATCCATCCTTAAGCGCTTTGTGGTTTCACTTTCCTGAGGTCAGCCATAGTTGGAAACATATCACACGGGAAATTCCAGAAGTAAGTCGTTTGTAAGTTTTAAGTCAAGGGCCATTCTGATTAACAAGGTGAAATCACAAACTGTCCTGCTATGCCAGATCCAGGATGGCTACTGTCCTTTTGTCTGTCATGTCCCTACTTCATGCACTGCCAACCTGTGAATTGTTCATTGTCACCGGGCTCCTCCTAGCATCGTAGTACCTGGGTTAAAGGCGCACTTAAGTGTACTTAGCTGTGGCTTCAGAATGCAGACATCATCCAATAGCAACAGGAGTATTCTCAAGAGAAGCTATGAAATGCTTCCTTTCAATGAACATTCTCAACATAATGAGGGGAGGGAAAAAAATGAACCATATGCTGAGGTTGCTAAAATTTATATTAAGTTATTGTTAATTCTTCCTGGACCTAATTTGTAAACCTTGCCGTGGGTACATATGTATGTGGAATTAAAATCATAGTAAGATAAGGTTCAATATTATCCCTGGTTTTCAAAATCCTCTGGGGTCTGGAATAATCCTCTTTGTGAACAGTGGGGTACTGCCATATGAGTAGGAGCGTTACGAAAATGCATAACTGACAACACAATGCCGAGTGCATATAAGCAGTCAGTAATGGAAACTTCATTTTTACTTACTGTTCTATGTAGGGTTAAAGCACTTGCTTTATTCAGTTCTAACCACGGAACTTGACAGTGATTGGCTTTTTGCTGGTGGGATGGAAATTTCCTGCCTGTAAACAGTTCTCCTTTCTCTACAGCCACATCAACAGAAAGACCCAGTATGAGAACCCTGTTCTGGAAGCCAAGCGGAAGAAGCAGTTAGAGCAGCAGCAACAGCAACAACAGCAGCCACCACCGCCAGAAGGTTAGCTTCTTCCCTGGAGGTTTTTTCTTAGCTGGGAACATAGGACAAAGCCTGAGCACTGACACCCCCGTGTGGTCAGAATTGGCCTTGATGATTGAGCCACTCTTCCAGGCAGGAGTTGCTGTCCTGAGCTGAGGATGCTAAGCCTCTACTCACTAACCACCCTTGCCACACTTTGCTGATGGCAGGGGAGAGACAGGTTCAGAATCACCTGCATCTCTTCTGGCATGAAGGAATTCCCCACTCTGGCGACATTTGTGTTCTAACTGCTCTCACAAATGCAGATGCCTTTTAGCATTCTTGCTTTAGGCAGAATTGCCAGGCATGAGCAGTGACTATTATTTTTAGGAAAATTACATGTGAACACAGATCAGAAAGAGCTGGTAATTTTGAGAGCTTCTTAAGAGTTAGAGTAATTCACGGTCTTTGTAAAAATATGAACCATTCATGAAAGTAGACTATTAAATTCTCTCATGTTGTCCTCACATCATTCTTGAAGTTTTTTTGTGTGGAAATATTAGATACTCTAGGGATATACAAATTGTAGATGTTTTTAAAAATCATATAATTGTGTGTGTGTGCACGTGTGTGCGCACGCGTGTGCACATGCAAATGTACCAGTACGGCTAGGGTTTGGGTTTGAATTTGGGACCTTGCATGCATTCTTGCTCTGCTTTTTGTTCCACATCTGGCTTTTTGCTGGTGAATTTATCTACCTGGGCTGACTTCGAACTGTTTTCAGCCTCCTGTGTAGCTATGATTATTACCTTATAAATTTTAATAATTTTGTAATGTATCACTTAATGAATATTTCCACCTTTGTTTAGCCATCCATTTATTAACAGAGACAGGTTTTTTCCAGTTTTCCACTGGATATAATATTTAAAAATAATAGGCCCCATATTGCCTCAATATGATGTCAAATGCATTATTTTGATTACTATAATGCAGAATATAGTGCTGTACTTTTTTTGTGGGAGAGAATCAAATTTAAAGCCTCCTACCTTCTAAGCACATACTTTACCATTAGTTCCATCTCCAGCCCTGGAATGTAATAAATAAATAGAGACGCTATGCTCTGGATTAGCCATTTTTCTTCTGTCAAGTTCCTCATAGTAAACAGTTAAGGCTTTATGATACATACATTCTTAGTTACAAGTGGTCAATTCTTGTTCTTGCAGTCTGCAAATATGCAAAGGAACATACATAGCTACATGTCTAAAACTTGACCTATGTACCCTGTCAATTGAACCTAGTTTCTAGGTGTCACAAAGTCAACAGCACCTTTCTCCTCCTAATCTTTTGATTATTTGTTGCTATAGTATTTCACTGCATAGTCGAGGCTCCTATCCCAGCCTTCCAACTACTAGAGATTTCAGGGATGTACCACCACACCCAGCTTAATTCTTTTATTCTTTTCAGCGATTTTTAAAGGATAAATGCTGTTCTTTGCTGGCAGAAGAATAGCACCGGACCCAATTTGACTGATAAACTCTGGTTTTCTACTTGTTGCCCTGCACTGTTTAATTTAGACAGTGAGTGTGTGTATGTGTATCTACTTACCAATTCACAGTCCTCTGCCTCATCTCTTCTCTATTTAAAAAGAACATTTTAAACGATAAGACTTGGTACTGTTGGAAAATGTCCTTTGGGCAGTGGGGCTGTACAGCAGAATATGGTACCTGAGCTGGAAAGTAACTCTGGTGCCTCTCAGGGGGCCTCAAGCTGCATCAGACAACATTAGGACACAGGAATCCTGGTAGTGGCTCCCAGTTTGGGTCAGAGATGACAAGAGTTAGCACCTTTGCCCCATACTATCATCTGTGTTCATCTAGCGCTCCCCCTAAGACAGGCTGAGTCCACCTGTGCCTTGCTTGCCTTAAGGAGCTTTCTCTCTCTAAGGGCTGACTTTGGGCAACTCTACTGCTTTTCTCATGTTTGTTCTTGATTTCACTTTGGACTCTCCAGCCAGAAAGATCTGGAGGTTTTATTGATTCAATGTCTATTCCCCAAATATTGGTGAATTTCTTTCCCTAAGTATCCCTGAGAAGAGAAACCCAAGGTCAGGTACCAGCTTCATTCTGATCGGATTTGGTTTATTGATTTGATTAGCACTGTGAAGGGAAATGGGCCAGCTCTCTGACACTCTTTCCTTTTTCTTTCTCTTAGAATGGGCAGAAGATCATTCATCCCTTGTGCCTCCTGTTGTTTCTACCCATCCCCCAAGCAATCCAGAGCCAGCCAGGGACCCTCCACTTCAGGGTAATGTGTTTTTATAATTGCATCGTGGTGTCATGTCTCATTTTAAAAAATTTTATAGTGAAAAACACAAATAGTGAAAGCAATTCTATTTGTGTTGTTAATCAGACATGTCTGAAAATTTAGAATCCTTCCAGAATAAGATTCTCTCGCTCTTTGCTGTATTTTAAAAACAACCAGAGCTTTCATCCTCAGTGCTGTTGACAGTTTGGGCATGATAATTCTGCATGTAGGGGGCTTTCCTGTACCTGATGGGATGTTTTAAAGTATCCCTGCTCATCTCCTACCTCACCCCTATCCTGCGGCAAGCTAAAGTTTCTCCAGACACTGCTAAATGTCCCTGGGTGCTAAATCATGTCAGCATTGGAAACCATCAGTGTAGAGACCAAAAATATTTAATGCCATGTTAAATAAGATAAATTCTTTAAAAAAAAATTGTTAGGGAGCTGGGAAGGTGGCTCAGTGGTAGAGCGCTTGCCTTGCATGCATGAGGCCCTGGGTTCGATTCCTCAGCACCACATAAGCAGAAAAAGCCAGAAGTGGTACTGAAAAACTGAGGAACAGCACCAGAGTTCAGAGTTCAGGCCCCACTACTGACAAGAAAGAAAGAAAGAAAGAAAGATAGAAGTTGTTATTTACTTCATTGTTACTGTAAAGGTGATGTATGGAGGGATTACATGACTCAGGTAATGAGTACATTCCTTTTCCTACAGTGTCCTCCTCCCTCCCCTCACTCTCTCCTAGTTCGCCCACCCCAGTCTCCACCCACGAGTTGTGTAGTTCCCTCTCATAAGTGCCCTGTGAGCTCCACTGCTGCACTTAGCATTAGATATATCAAGACTCTAGTCAACAAACTTGCATTTGACTAAGATTTCCCTGTCGGTGTAAATGGCTTTATATTATATTAAAGTTCTCTTCCCTGGTTCCTGCCACGGTGTTGGCATTTATGCATGTTATACAGAGAGCATTTCCTTGAGGCTCACTTACTTACATCTACAAATAATATCTGCCCCATAGAGAGAACCATTCTTGAAAAGTGTAAGCTCTCAGACTTTCAGGCCTCATTGTTCCGCAGTGATAGAGGAATTCTGGGATTTTGTTGTTGTTTGTTTAGTTTGCCTTTTCTCTTAAATAATGAACAAGCATCTTGTTTTATAAGTTAGGAGATATTTGTAGCTCAAAAGCATTAAAAATAATGTAAGATTTACCTTCAAATCTACATTTTCAGCAAGCTATACCTGTGTTAGCTGTACAATTAGTAGAGTAATTCTCTCATTTTGACTCCTCCATTACAATTTTCATAATACAGCAGTTGTTTCTCTGCTTGCCGGACATTGTCATAGATGAAGGGTTGGTTTTTGTTTTTTTTTAAAGCTTTTTCTGACACGAGTATACTGTCTTTGGTGATAATGACTTTATAAAAGGTAGACCATAATATATAATAACATATTGATTGATATCAGTATGATTCAGCCTCCTCCATGTTTAGTTGAAGCCTGGTAGGGAAATAATCCCTAATGGTGGTTCAAGGGCAAAGTTTGGGGCCAAAACCCAAAAAATCTTGATTGAGTGCGCCTGGTAGAGGCAGGAATATAAAAGGGAACATTTTTAAGAGCTGCTCATGTGAGTTTCAGAACACAGCCAAGACTTAAAACTGCTTTCTAGCCCACAAAGATTTTAGGTCTCAGAAAATTACACCGATCAGAGCTATGGCAGAGAACTTCGAATTTCACTGCTTGTGACGAAAAACTATTTCTCTCCACAAGTTGCCTTAACTAATGATCCACCCATCTATAAAATGTGCATAAATGTGAAACCCTCTGGTCTTCCCTCTCTAGTTAAGCATGTCCAGTGGAAGGCAGTGGTATAATTTCAAAGCTCTGTTCATGTCTCTATTAAGATGAAAATACTCCAAGCACAAAATATGCTAATGACTTTTTAAAATATTCAAACTGCCTGGTGCGTTTCACATCTTCTAACTTTGCCTTGTAATAAGTGTAAAAAAGTTCTAACATCCAGACACTTCAATCTTAGCAAAAGCCTGTTGAATCTGTTTGTGATTTTGTTCATTCATTCCTTCACTCTAGAAGAACTACTTAAAGCCAGACAGAATTCCAAGTGAGTGGCTTACAAGCGGAAATCTTCACAGAGCTTAGATTTTAATAGTTTTATGTGTGTTCACATGCAATGTCCCTCATTTCTGGGCACAGGGAACAGTATTACTAGACAAGAAACCAAACCAGCAAGGAGATGTATACTGTATTAGAACGCTATAAATTCTAACGACAATAATAACAAGAAAGGTAGTCAGCACTGGTGTTTTACACATATAATCTAGCAAAAACCCTAAGTGGAGCTCTGGCTCAAATGGTAGAGAACCATCCTTGAGTAGAACAAGATAAGGGATAGTGTTCAGGCCCCAATACCAGTGTGTGCATGTGCGTGTGCGCGCACACACACACACATACACACACTCTTTCTCTCTCTCTCACTCTCTCTCTCTCTCTAGGAAAGGGAGATGAGACATGTTGGAGAAGGCATTGTGTGTTTTAATATGTACTCAGGAAAAACCTACATAACTGAAGTGTGTTTCACTTCCAGCTCCCTGAAACAACTAGTAGCCTTTGCTATAAGATTCTAGGCCATTCGCCTCCTTTTTCTAAAATAAATTTTAAGGGTCATTTCACCTGTCCTCAACTTTCCATCTGGTAATTGGCTTAACAGCTGTCTCCCTCCAGCCTTTGCTGCAGGTGGCATCTCTCCCCATTCTCCCCATGCCTTTGGCAGGTGACTATGCCTGGCACATCTCAGGAAGCTTCGCCTTTCTGTAGCCACAGCTTGTCAAACTTCCAATAATCCTTGGGATTTCTCTGGAGTGGCGGTTAATGAACAGACCTCTGACTACAGGCAATTTAAAAGAGCCTTCCTTTTTAGGAGCCAGAGACTTTTCAAATATGCAATTAAAAATTGTATGCCTGCCCAGAGACCTTTTAGGCCTTTTAGTTATAGTTAACCAAAAATAACTTTTCTTTCTGGGTGCCAGGCTCCTAGAGCCCCCCCCTTCCCCTCTCTCTCTCCCTCTTTCCCATCAAATAGCATTTTTAATAAGAAAGAAACATAGCCACCATATTATCCTGGAACTATCTGCATTTTTTCTGAGCCTTCCATTTGGTTGAAACCTAAAAGTTTTCATCAGTTGATATTATAGGTAAAATCCAGACCCAAAGCAGTATATTGGATGCAGTCCCAATAGACAGTGACACAAAATAAGGACTGACTGAACTTCCTTTGGGAGAGCTATGGCTTCTCAGTTCCCTAATATCAGGGAAGTGAGCCACCTAATCAGGACCAGTTTTGTCCTCCTCTTCTGTCTTCCTTTAAACTTTAAAGATGACACGCTTTGTGCATAATACCCATCTCCTAAACAGAGAGAGAGACCTGAGAGTACTCCGATTCTTGAAATCAAAAGAACACTTTCTTGAAACACATCTCTACCCTAAGGCTTCAGCCCAAACATGAGCCTGGAGAGTCAGATCTATAATGTCTCATATCTAGACTTAATTTTCCTTCTCACTCATAGACAAACTCCTTGCTCTTCTCTCGTTCTCATCCAGGCAAACCCTTTTTTACACGAAACCCTTCCGAGCTGAAAGGCAAGTTCATCCACACGAAGCTGCGGAAAAGCAGTCGTGGCTTTGGCTTCACGGTGGTAGGAGGAGATGAACCCGACGAATTCCTGCAGATCAAGAGCCTGGTTCTAGATGGTCCTGCCGCACTGGACGGCAAGATGGAGACAGGTGAGTGTGCGTGGCTACAGCCTTCTAGTGATGAGATCAGCTCACCACTAAGCAAGACCAAAGAGCATTGTGTCTCACAGGTTTATAAAGGTCTTTTACACCCTTGGAATGTGCCAGAGCCCTCCATCCTTCAGTCCAGGTGCCAGAAGCCTTTATACCCATTTAAACTTCAGAAGTGATAATTCATTAGAAATGTGGAGATCCAATTGAACAAGTGATTTCTAAACTTGGATCTCTGCAGTGACAAATTTCAGAAAAAAATGTCAGTGATCTTTCAATGATGATTATATTCTCTTTAGCAGAGAAGACACCGGATACTTAAGGAATGCTTCATTAGCAGTTAAAATAAGCAATAGAAGCAGTCTCTCTGTGCCTCATGCAATCACCTCCACTTAGAGCTTCATATAGCTGACAAGAGAGACAGCATTTTATGTCCACCCCCTCACAAGTTTTGGTGGGAGGAATGAGGGTTTGGCTTAAGTGGTAGAACACCTGCCTAGCAAGCATGAACCTCTGAGTTCAAATCCCAGTAGTTCCAGAAAGAGAGAGAGAGAGGGAGGGAGGGAGGATGACTAGAGCTAATTACACAAGACAGGTTAATAGAAGAAAAGCAGTAGATTTGTTTAATATGAGTTTTCTGTGACATGGAGCACTCATAAAGAAGTACACGCCCAAGTATGTTAGCATGTGGTTAGAGTGAATACTTACTGCCTTGAACATGGGATCCTCAGCTGTGAAAATGTAAGAAGACAAATGGGTGTTGACTAGAGTAGTTAACGGGTCAAAGGAGGGAGTTGGGAGTTAGAGGTTGGTTTAACAGTTGCTATGTACGGCAATTTGCACAGATTTCCCTTGTTTTTGACTTCTTATCCATGGTAGTAAGAATGTTACCTGGGGTAAGATGATTTTGAGATATAGAAAGGATATCTTCCACTGCAATTTTATCTCCTGCTTCTGGGAAGAAAAGGAGGAGGATCAGAGTGTCTTCCCTCCATTTTTATACTTGCTGAATTTTTTTTTTTTTTAAGTATAGTTAGCTAAAAAGAATTCTGATGCCATATTTTGGATGTTAGGAACACAACATTTCTGGGTGCTGTGTTTTTTTGACTCCTTCACTTTTTGCATTTACAGGAGATGTGATTGTCAGCGTGAATGACACCTGTGTTTTGGGACACACCCATGCGCAAGTTGTGAAAATCTTCCAGTCAATTCCCATTGGTGCCAGTGTGGACCTTGAACTCTGTCGAGGTTACCCATTGCCTTTTGACCCAGATGACCCCAACACAAGTTTAGTGACCTCAGTGGCCATTTTGGACAAAGAACCAATTATTGTGAATGGACAAGAGACCTATGACTCGCCCGCCAGCCACAGTAGTAAGACAGGCAAAGTGAGCAGCATGAAGGATGCCAGGCCAAGCAGCCCTGCCGACGTGGCTTCCAACAGTTCTCACGGCTATCCCAATGACACAGTCTCCTTGGCTTCCTCCATAGCCACTCAGCCAGAACTTATCACTGTCCACATAGTCAAAGGGCCCATGGGCTTTGGTTTTACTATTGCAGACAGCCCTGGTGGAGGAGGTCAGAGAGTGAAACAGATTGTGGACAGTCCTAGGTGCCGAGGCCTGAAAGAGGGAGACCTCATAGTGGAAGTGAATAAGAAGAACGTTCAAGCCCTCACACACAACCAGGTCGTGGATATGCTGATTGAATGCCCGAAGGGCAGCGAGGTCACGCTGTTGGTGCAGCGGGGAGGTATGGAGAAGCTTTTGTTCTCTGTAGCTATCATCTCAAGTCTCTCGCAGAGCTTGATGGTCTTCATGGGAACTCTGGGTTTAAATATATGCCTTTAAGATGATTTTTTTTTTAAATCACTTTTCAGTACTGAGAATTGAACCCAGATTCCAGGACCTGCTAGTCAAGTATTCTACCTCTGAGTGATGTACCCAGCTCAAGATTGTTTTTTATTGAAGTATTTAGAAATCCTTTCTAAATGCTTCGTGATTGTTTCAAATGCTAGTCCCTTTGGGATAAAGTTTATAGTTTCTACATTATGTTACACATGTGTAAGTAAAGTCTCACTTTAAAACCTAAATCAGTTGTACTTTTTAAAACCCATTAAGTTTTAGTAGGCTGGGAATGGGTGCCCATGCCTATAACTCTAGCTGTCCAGGAAGTAGCAGTTGAGAGAAATGTGTTTCAAGGCCAGCCTAGTATAAAAAGTTAGTGAGATTTCCATCTCAACCAACAAGCTGGATCCCAGCTACAGGGGAGGCATAGGGCTTAGGTCAGTGAATTGTAATACAAAGTTGGTCCCAGACCAAAAAAAAAAAGCCAAAATGTATGAGACCCCTGTCCTACCAATCACTAAATCATGGATGTATGACTCAAATGGTAGAATACTTGTTTAGCAAGTATGAAGCTCTGAGTTCAAATCCCATTACTCCCACCAAAACTCAAAAGATAAGATTTCAAAATGTTTCACCTTGAAGACCCCTGAGCCTGCTTCACTCGCCTCTTCTTCTCACAAGGCTTGTACAACTGTCTTTTCTGAAATTACTTAAAAGACCTTAAGCCCTTTCTCAGCTCAGGAACTTTTTTTCCTAACAAAGGAAAAAATTTCTTGTTTCCATTTTCTAGAGTTCATTTCCGTAAACACTATTTTATATGATCAGGTGTACATAGGCATTGTGTCTTGGTGATCCTCTCCTAAGAATATCCGCCTTTGGTCTCACTGTGTGTGAATGCAGAGATTCCTACAACTTACCATGTCTGATCTATTTTTTTTTTTTTGCCTTCTTGTTTCCTCTGCACAGAGCCCTTTATCCAGTCCTCAGTTTGATTTGATCTCAGCTCCCCCAAGAAGCCTTCTTGGATCACTTTATCTAATTATCCCCTGACCCACGTCATCTCTTCTACTCCATTTCTTCTGCGTATCTCCACTGTTGTGGCCTTTATTGCAGTCAGTATTATCATAACTCAGCCATTGTATATTTATTGATTTATCTTTTAGTTCAGCTTTACATACCTGACTCCTTATTCTTGGGTGTGACTATTATTAGTGTAAGTGGTAGAATGATAGTGCCACCAATTGTACTAAAAATGTTCCTCAACCTAGTCTCATGAGAATGAAGAGGTTGAGGATCTCACAGAACTGGGGTTTCTAAATCTGGAGCCCACATTCACATTCCTCCTATCTCTCCTTTTCTTTACCCCACCTTGTACTTCACCAGCACTCCAGGGCCTCACCCAGAGAAATAGTCTCTACCTCAGTGAAGTGTCCTGCTTCTGGGATAAGTATTTGTGGCTGGTTATGGCAGAGGCTTGCGCAAAATAGCCTGAGACTGGTTGTTCCCACAATCTTTGCCAACACAGTTTGTTTCAAGGACATCGTATTTGAGGGTTTGGTTTGGTTTGGTTTGGTTTGTCAGTCGTGGGGCTTAAATTCTGGGCCTGGGCACCGTCCCTCAGCTCTTCACCTCAAGGTGAGCACTCTACCACTTGAGCCACAGCACTACTTCTGGTTTTCCAGTGGTATATTGGAGATAAGAGTCTCATAGACTTTCGTACCTGGGCTGGCTTTGAACCGAGATCCTCAGATCTCAGTCTCCTGAGTAGCTAGGATGACAGGCATGAGCCACTGGCGCCCAGCCATATTTGAGTTTTTGACGAGAGAGGAAAAAATCATACGTGGCTCCCTTGCAGTGGAGAGCTCATTTGTGTTAGAGCAGCCACGCAATCCGCTATGGAGAATCTTCCTGCTATGTGATCAGAATGATTGGAGTAGCTGGGCAGAAATCCAAAATATTGTTCAACTGTCTGTATGCATCAGAATGCTCAATCACTCCTTCTAGAGTGGATAATTGAGCAGATTTCATCTTTTTAACCTATTTCAAGACAGTTTCATGTTTTTGTTTTTGTTTTGTTGGTTGTGGGGCTTGAACTCTGGGCCTGGGCGCTGTCCCTAAGCTCTTCAGCTCAAGGCAAGTACTCTACCACTTGAGCCACAGTGCCACTTCCAGTTTTCTGTGGACTTTCCTGCCCAGGCTGGCTTTGAACTATGATCCTCAGATCTCAGCTTCCTGAGTAGCTAGGATTATAGGCATGAGCCACCGGCACCCAGCTTTCAAGACAGTTTTGGAGTCTCTTTCTCATATCTGTCCACTTGATTCTCAGATCATTAGTTCTTTAATAGTGACCAAATGTAGTTGGAAATAATTTGAATGTAAGTGTGATGATGATGATGATGATGATGATGATGGGGATGAGGGAGGCAGGAATGATACTTGACTTTTGCAGATAAATTGGTGCTTTGTGGAGAGTTTTCCTCCTGTCTGACTTTACAGCTTTCCTAGGATTCATGAAGGTACAGCCCAGTACAGCTGAGGTATTCACTCAGGTTCTGCAGTTCCCAGTCCTATTTTCTGCCTACTTAATTCTGAGGAACACTGACTTTGCATACTTATTGGTGTCGGCGGCCAGCAATCTGGAAACTTGCCAGTGGGTCTTGGCAACATTTTGATCCTGCTCATTTGATAGTTACAAACTGTCCATTCTCCAATTTACTTCTTCTTCATTTCTGTGGTATACTCACTTGTGTTCCATTAGATTTCTTAGTGAAAGAGAACCCACCCCCTCAAAAAATAGTTCCATGACTATTTACTAACTTAACACTTCCTGGAATCTGTGAATTTGCTTGAAGTAACAGTAAGTGATTAGTGAAACATGTCTCTGGATTTTTAACTGTGTTTGTGTTCCCACAATTCCTGAGCCCTTCTTTCTGTTTAATTCCATCACATTTTATAACATTGATATAGAAAGATTCAAAATATACTGCCTCATTAGTCAACATGTACATGGTTTCTTCCAGAACCTGAGTCACTTAAAGACCCTATAACATCAGTAGACTTTGAAATATGCCATATGCCTTGTGTTTGATATATGGGAAGGATGGCATATTTGTACATCTGCAGTTGGCAGGCTAGCACCAGCTACTATTAATCTTTCTCAGAAGCATATAATTATATTTGTTTCTGCCATGCACAATTGTGTGAGTCAGCACTGACATTTAATCACCCTTCTGGTGAGGATTATAAGGAGAAGATTTGATGGAGGCACAGGACAGCAGTTCAGTTAAACATGAACATGAAGGCTACTTCACGAATTGCTTTGAATGACTCTCATAGCTCCTGGTATGCAAAATAAGTGCTTCATAGTGAGAATGAGGCTTTCTGTGCTTTGGGGCAAAATTGAATGTTTTAGAGCATCTGTTTTTTGTTTGTTTTGGTTTTGGTGGGTTTCTTTTGGTTGGTCATAGGGCTTGAACTCAGGGCTTGGGCACTATCCTTGAGCTCTTTTGCTCAAGGCTAGCTTTGGGACACTTTGAGCCATAGTGCCACTGCCGGTTTTGAGTAGTTAATTGGAGGTAAGAGTCTCACAGGGACTTTCCTGCTTGGGCTGGCTTCAAACTGTGGTCCTCAGATCAATCACAGCCTCCTGAGTAGCTAGGATTACAAGTATGAGCCACTGGAGACTAGCTGTTTTAATTCTTAATCCCCAGGCTCTTTTTTGTTGGTTGGATTGTTTGCTTGCTAGTACTGGGGCTTTACCTCAAATCCTGGTCTTTGTCCTTTAACTTTTGTGCTCATGGCTAGCACTGTACAATTTGAGCCACAGCGCCATTTCTGGCTTTGTGGTGATTAATTAGTGAATAATCTCATGGACTGTTCTGCCCAGGTTGGCTTCAAACCTCCATCCTCAGAGCTCCATGAGCCACTAGCACCTAGACCCCAAGCTCATTTTCAACATTTGTTGTCATGATCTGATATTCTTTGTTTTTTAGTACTTTCAAGCTGTTCCTCCTATCTTCCCCAATAGAAAATTGAGCAGAGGTTGAAATACCTTTTGTAACTATCTGAGAGCCGACAGTTTTCTAAGTCAAGGTAGAGTTGCCAGGATTGTTTATGCACACGCCTGGGTATCTGGAACCATCCCAGGCACTCTGAACACACCATTTTTGCCTCTAGCACAGCTCTCAGGTGTGTTTCCAAAAACAAAGCCCCTTCTGCACTTGCCTGGCACCCCATCTTTCTATCTCATCCCCCAATTTCAACCTCCTAAGTAGCTAGGATCATAGGCTTGAGCCATTGTGTCTGGCTATTTCTTTATTAAAAAAAAATTATGAACCCAGTACCTTTTGGACAGTTCTCTCTGCATTATGACAAGAACAACTATTATTCTATGCATGAAAGAGCATAAGTGTTTAGAGCTTACGTATGAAACTCTACATCCTGGCTCCTGTTTGTACCCTCTTTGTGACTTTAGGAGAGTCACTTAGCTTCTCTGAGTTTAGTTCAACATTAAAAAAAAATGTGGATGACATTTGCCTTGAAAATGGGTTATGCAGATCAAAGAATGTATCATTTGTGCCACAACTGACACCGAAGTAGCTATGCTAACCATGATGTTTTCCTAATATTGCTGAAGCGGTTGGGTAGGGTGGCTTCTTTTTTTGGGGGGGGGGTCCGGTCATGGGGCCTGAACTCTGGGCCTGGGCGCTGTCCCTCAGTTCTTCAGCTCAAGGCTAGCGCTCTACCACTTGAGCCACAGCGCCACTTCCGGCTTTTTTCTTTTTGCTTATGTGGTGCTGAGGAATCGAACCCAGGGCCTCAGGCATGCAAGGCAAGTGCTCTACCACTGAGCCAACTTCCCAGCCCCTAGGGTGGCTTCTTAATTGAAAAACACAACGAGAAAGA